TTATTTTGTTAAAAAATACAATTTAATTTGACTGGTTTCTTAGGATCTAGTAAAAAATTTGTTTTAATGGTGTTTCAAGGTCACAAAATATCTGTTGTTGATGTGCTTGCCATTTATGGTTTTTTAATTGAAGATACACGCGTCCTAAGTAGTAACATAAATAATTTGTTAGCAAAACAATGTTATACAGTTGATTTTTTAATGGATAGTTGTCTGAGTGGATGTAAATTAATAAATAAAAAAACTACAACAACAAATTAAATTACAAGCAAAAATTTAGTTATCTTAAATTTTGTTGTTGGGAACCACATAAAGATTAATGACAAATATTTTGCAAAAAACAAATATAAACTTGTTTAGTCTGCTTTTAAAAAACATTACTTTAAAGCACAAATTTTATTTAATTTAACTTTATTTTGAATCATGTTTGCCAAAACATTTTATTTTTTTAAAATTTTTTTATTGAGTATTTACTTAAGTCACATTTCTGAACTTTTTGCATTTACTCAATCTAATAAAAATGAAAATTTTGTTGAAAAGTCCTACAAACGCCCAAACTACGAATATAGCAAAATCGGGTTTCCATTTAGTCTTAAAGTAAAAAATATTAGAAATGATCACTGCGTTGAAGCAGCGGAACACGACGACTATTTGACATTTGACCAGCAACTCGATCATTTTGATTCCTCAAACAATGCCACTTGGAAACAACGGTACCTAGCTAACATGGCCTTTTTTGACTTCTCTCTTCCTTCTTATTCGCCCATGTTTCTTATGTTTGGCGAAAAAAGGGAAATAAGGTCTCTATTTGTATCGGCCGGGCAAAAGTTCAATAATGCTAAGCAATTTAATGCTGGAATGGTAATTCTAGAACATCGTTATTTTGGCGAATCGCATCCAACCGCGTCAGTATATTTTTTCTTTTGTTCACTTTTTAATTAGCTTATAGTTTAAAACTTGTAGTAAAATTTTTCTTTTTTTAGTAACACTTCAATAGAAAACTTAAAGTACTTTACCATTGAACAGTCACTAGAAGATGCCGTTACTTTTATTAAGTTCATTAAACGCAAGTACAACATAAGCGACAACCACAAATGGATCATTTTTGGAGGTACATTTTAAAAACCTTTTTATTTTTTAAGTTGTGTTTAACAGAAAGGCTTTTTGCTAGGAGACTACGCTGGTAACTTGGCCGCATGGCTTCGCCTGAAACACCCCGATGTCGTTTTGGGTGCCGTCGCCTCCAGTGCGCCCCTTCAAGCCAAACTCAGTTTTGACACTTTTCTCCAAGAGATGGACACTGACTTGGGCAAGGGGTGTGTGAATGAAGTCCGCCTGGCCATGAACGAGTTCACCCATAAACTAGGCAGCGATTCAGGCAGAGAGTACCTGACAAATCTGTTTGGACTTTGCACGCCGTTAAAGAACGCCAACCAGCTGGACATCTCCCTATTAGTCTACATTATATCAATTCCTTTTCAAGGAGCGGCAATGTTTAATGAAGAAAATCCACGTTTTCCAAATGATCCCGGTGTTTGTGAGATAATGACAGACAGGCGTTATGGCGCTTCAGCGCTTGAACGTTTAAGAGTAACCTTATGGGAATATCGTATAAGTAACTGTGTCTACTTCCAGTACAAACCTTACGTTGATTTAGTTGCAGAAGTGGGGTGGCTCAATTATACTTCCGATTGTAAGTTTTTTTTCTATTTTAAAATTAATTCACAACAACTTGACACTTAAAGGTTTTTTATTACTTATTAGATCGTATGGGGCTGTACTTGCAATGCTCTACCATAGGCCANCAATGCTCCTCCATAGGCCAGTTCGTCACCACTAGTCACAACGTTGACCAGCCGTTTGGCGACTACTTTTCAGTGGAGTTTTTCGTGCAGCAATGCAAAGACATTTTCGGGCCTCAATTTGATCAACAGGCAATTGAGCGGGCCGTAGAACGGACTAACAAAGTCTACGGAGGGACCAATCTGTCAACTACGCCCACTCTGAGCAATGTCGTCTACGTCAACGGCCAACGTGATCCGTGGCGTGTGTTGGGCGTGTTGGAGCAGCCACCCAACAGGCCCACCCTCCTTCCGGTGGTCATCTCTGGATCGGCTCACAACGAGGACATCGACGTGCCGGATGTGCATGATTCTCCGGAACTGACGGAAGCCCGTGCCAAGATCAACAAAGCGATTGAGCGAATGCTAGCGGAGCAGCAGCAGCAGCAACAGCAGCAACACTGACAATTAAATGGTTTATAAAGACAGTTATATTTTTGTTCCATAAACGTTTGTACCAATTAACAAAATAAAAACAATTTTTTAAACTTTAAGTTTTTACCAACTTTTCAATAGCCTGACAGGCGGCCGCTTTTGTATTCTCCCGCACTATTCGCTCTCGTACTTTGGCCATCTTAGCAGTAAGTTTTNAGAGTAGCAGCATCAGCAGCAGCAACACTGACAATTAAATGGTTTATAAAGACAGTTATATTTTTGTTCCATAAACGTTTGTACCAATTAACAAATAAAAAACAATTTTTTAAACTTTAAGTTTTTACCAACTTTTCAATAGCCTGACAGGCGGCCGCTTTTGTATTCTCCCGCACTATTCGCTCTCGTACTTTGGCCATCTTAGCAGTAAGTTTTTCATCACCAAGCAATCGATCAATGGCCTCCATCAGGTCTTTATCTCTAAACTGGTACGGGTTAAGCGATTCACCATAGCCGAGCTCCACAACTCGAGTGCCATTGTCGTACTGGTCTGCAAACTAAACAAATAAAATAACAAATTAATCAAACTTTCTTTACTCTCCTCAATTTCCCTTTCTTACCAGCGGCAAGACAATCATCTTTTTGCCAAAGGAGAAGGCCTCAGTGAATGAGTTGTTGCCACCGTGGGTGATCACCAGATCGACCAGCGGCAGAATGGCCGTTTGAGGAAGGTAAGCCTCGCCCCAGCAGTTTGGCGGAAGGTCAAACTCCGCTCCTCGAAGTCCTTTGGAGACGATGTACCGGTGAGGTGTCCGTCCGAGGATGGACAGTATTCGCTTGAGAAGTTCAACGTCATAGCCGCCTGTTTAAAATGTTTTTGTTATAGTTGGCAGTTTAAATAATCCTCTTTTTTACCCATAGAGCCAAGGCTAAAGTAGATTAGCGCTTTTCCTGGCATCTCCTGAATTTGCTTAGGAATAACAAACTCTTGTGAACTTTCCTGACGACAAAAGGCGTCTAAAAATAGAAAAGTCTCAGGAAGTTTGATCTGCACAGTGTTGTAAGTGAACTCTTTTGGGTAGCCAACTAGATTGAGGTACGGTGACATGACAAAGTCAGTGTTGACGTTCTTAAAAGATTGCTCAAAAGTCGAATCAGGAACAAAGTTGAAATGAGCGTTAAGTTTTGCCTGATTGACCTTAAAAATAGAAGTATACTGGGCAAACTTTTCTCTAAAGACTGTCCACGTGGCAGGATTGCTGTCAGTGCGGAATCCTAGATTATATTAAAAATAATTTTTAGAAAAAGTTTAATTGTAAAGTTTTAAGTGCAAGTGCTTACCTGAACAACCAGGAGGAATAGAAGGATGATCGTACAGAAAGAGAGGATTTCCGCTAAAAATGGACACAAAGGGAATGCCTCTCTGTTGAATGCAGGGCAACACCAGANAGAAGGATGATCGTACAGAAAGAGAGGATTTCCGCTAAAAATGGACACAAAGGGAATGCCTCTCTGTTGAATGCAGGGCAACACCAGAAAGAGATCCAAAATGAAGAGGTCCGGGCTGATGGCGTCCATCTCTGCCTGAATTTGGTCGTTTCGAGCAATGAGCCTGCTCCACGTCTGCTCGAAAAAGGTCGGATTTGACATTAGGTCCACCTTTTCAAGCGGACTTTTTGGTCCGAGGATGCCGGTTTCGAGGATGGCGGAGGCGATTTGCTTGATGGGATTTTCCGTTTTTAAGGATTCAGTAGGCTTCTTGTCATTTTCACTTTTATCGTCGTCGTTGAAAATTACCTCCCGACAGCCAAACTTGGCCGCCTGTCCTTTGAAGGTGGCCGCCAGGAAGAAGGTCACCTGGTGACCTCGCTGAACAAGTGCCTGAGCCAGGCCAAAACAGGCGGACAGGTGACCGGCGGCGTCCAGAGACTGAAAGAAGATTTTCAGTGGTTTTGCTGCTGCTGCTGCTGTTGTTGATGCTCTTTCAGAAGTTGATACAGACATTTTTCGTTTTTGACGCAAAATAAAAATGATTAAGAATAAAAATTATTTACCGCTACTGGCTATAATTGGTATGAACAATGGCTTGTATTTATGGCAAAAATGAGATTATTTGCGCTAACTTAACTAGTGATTTGTTGTTGTGATAAAAACAGATACTCGTACAGCAAACGTTGTTGAGTGGTGCTTTTTTTCTGATAAAAGCCACAACCAAGCAACGACTACCAGTCGTTTTATACAAAAAAGTGTTCCTTCTGACTTAAACTGCAGTATCTTTCTGTTTGTTGTGCATCTACAGTAAGTTTTAGGAAATTTCAGACTAAAAAGAAGAAAAAGAGAAACTAAATGCAAATAAGTAAAAGTTTATTTTATGAATTATTCTCAATAGGGGCAGTGTAAAAAACAGTCAAATCATCTAGAAAACTGCTTTTATTTTCAAATGCCTGGTACTTGACTGCCTACTTCGAATCCTTCTCCATCATACCTTTCAGCGCTACTTTCTGCAAATCGATAATCACTTTGTTGTACGTTTTCAGCATCTTCTTTATCTCACGTATATCTTCCTCTAGCTGGTCAACTTTAGATGACTGAGATGGTGGTGGCGGCGGCGATGATGGAAAGAAACGGAATGGCTCCAACTGCTGAACATTTCCAAGAACTTCCACGCCTGGCTCATGCGATGATGTCGCTGCTTCTGATGATGATGATGCTGATGGCGAGGGCGAGGGCGAGGGCGTTGAGATAAAGAGCTCAAACTGGTGGTCCGACTTGTGCTCAACTCGCTCATCATTTTGCTGCTCAGCAGTATAGTTCTCCACTATGGTGATGATTTCAAAGTTTCCAGTGCTGGCATTGCTGCTTTCAGAAGATGATGAGGATGAAGAAGAGGAAGAGGAGGCAGCAACGTTCTCACTGCCGTCCTCAATGGTAATCGCCTCCGACTGATGTCGGTCATTGCGAGCAGCAGTGGTTGGCGGCTGCTCTCGCACATAGCCGTACTGATTAAGCAACCACTCGAGGCCTTCTGCTGCTGACCGGCGCTGTCGTCCCTCATGATTGTCCAGCAGACCAAAGTAGTACCAAATGTCGGTGCACAGCGTGGCGAAGAGCCGCTGAAAGAGCATGTGAATAGAGGAGAGTCCCTGATTCAGAGTGTCCGGGTCGAGAATGTTTTGGGAGGCGTCCTCAGTTCCTCGTGCGTGAGCTAGAAAAAAGAAAAGTAAACAAAAAAACGAGCAAGGGATTAGTTTTGTGAAAGTGACAACAAACACCCTGCTAAACTCGTCGTCAGGTCACACACTACCTTTGTACAGTATGTAAAGGCTGTCCAGGTCGAGGATAAGGTTACCCAAGTTGTTAAAGTAGAAGATTTTTCGGTAGATTTCACCTTGGAAGAAGGCAGTGAGGGAGCTCTCAACGAAGCTCTTTTTCCCTGATGATAATGTTTTCTGCGGCAGTGGCGGCGATCCAGTGAGCATCCTGTACA